CCATTTAAGGGGTGGCTGCTCTCTTCAGTGAGCCACCTATTTAAATTGATGGCTGCTGTCCTCAGTGAGCTGCCCATTTAACTGATGGCTGCTGTTCTCAGAACCCAGCCTGTCCTTTAATTCAGTAATATCCCAGAATTTCTCTCTCTGTACCCTGTGATTTGACCTAGCATCGCCGTTAAGAGTGGGAGCCATCTGGGTCAGGGGGCGCCTGAGTTCAAATCAGGAAGTAATCTTTTCTCCTGTCCCTCCCTCAGGGCCCAGCGTGGGGCCCGGGGATGGTCCTGTCAGCGTGTGGCTGCCGTGCGCGCAGCCCGGGCTTCCTGCCGCCCCGTGAGCGTCTCAGGACGGGCTGCTGTCTCTCTTTTGTAACAGCTTTATTGAGATAAAATTCACACGCCTTACAACTCACCCACTTAAAGTACACAATTTAGCGTTTCGTGTGTAGTGCAGGCATCACCACTAATTCCAGAACATTCTATCACCGCAAAAGAAACCCCATCCCAAATGCAGCCCCCACCTGTTTTTGTCAGTGGAGTCTTATTGGCAGCAGCTTCTGCGTTACAAACACAGAGGACAAGCCAGGTAGTCACAACAGGACCACCTGGCCCTCAAAGCTGAAAATGTGGGGTGTCCGACCCCTTACAGAAGAAGGTTGCTGACTCCTTCTACATGTGTTTAGTCATTGAATCCTCACTGTGGACCTCTGAGGTCCAGACGGGGAGACTGAGGGTCAGAGAGACTCACATCTCACAGTGCTCAAGTGGCCCAGGCAGGATTTGAACTCAAGTCCACGGTCTCGTGCCTTCTGCCCAGTTGCCCTTCCGTGTTTCTGTGGATGCGACTTTCAGAAGAGGGGTTGTTGGGTCACAAAAGGCAGACCCTGAAGGGCTGGGCGGGGCGTCTCTTCCTGATCCCTGGCTCCCCCTCCCCTGCAGTCGGGTGCCTCCAGCTTCGGAGAGAAGTTCTCCCGCGTCAAGTTCTCGCCGTCGCTCACGCTGTTCGGCGGCAAGCCCATGGAGGGCTGGATCGCGGTGACGGTCAGCGGCCTGGTGACCGTGTCCCTGCTCAAGCCCAGCGGGCAGGTGCTCACGTCGACGGAGAGCCTGTGCCGGCTGCGCGGCCGCGTGGCCTTGGCCGACATCGCCTTCACGGGCGGCGGCAACATCGTGGTGGCCACGGCGGACGGCAGCAGTGCGTCCCCGGTGCAGTTCTACAAGGTGTGCGTGAGCATGGTCAGCGAGAAGTGCCGCATCGACACCGAGATCCTGCCCTCGCTCTTCATGCGCTGCACCACTGACCTCAACCGCAGGGACAAGTTCCCCGCCATCACGCACCTCAAGTTCCTGGCCCGCGACATGTCGGAGCAGGTGAGCCCTGGCCGCGGCCCTCCTCGCCTCACGTCCTGGGGTCAGAAGTCCTGAATTCAGGTTCGGGCAGGGCTGTCCTCCCCGAGGCTCCAGGGAGAACCGTCTCCTGCCTTTTCCAGCTTCTAGAGGCCGCGTCCTGGGCTCGGGGCCCCTTCCTCCGTCTGCACAGCCCGCAGCGCAGCATCTCCCGTCTCTCTCTGCCTCTGACCCTCCTCCTCCCTCTGACGAGGACCCTGTGATGACACTGGGCCCCGGGAATCCAGGGTCATCCCCCATCCCAGGGGCCTCAACTTAATCCCACCTGCAAAGTCCTCTCTGCCATGTGAGGTGACACGTCCACAGGTCCTGGGACCAGGACGGGGTCATCTGGGGCCGTTGTTCAGCGGTCATCCCGGTTCCCATTGTAACCGCGCATCAGTAGGGCCCCAGACCCCCCCAGGGAGGGCGCCGTCGGGTGACATTTGCCATTCTGGCTCGGCACCCCTCACGAGAGGCATGTGGCGGGCAGTGGGCCTGGGTTCGAATCCACGATGGCATGAGGTGGGAGCCGTGGACGACCGAGGAGAGGGGGCCGGGCTGGAGCCAGGCTTGGAGCCAGCGCCCTCACCAAGCCGCCGCCCGCAGGTACTCCTGTGCGCGTCCAGCCAGACGAGCAGCATCGTGGAGTGCTGGTCGCTGCGGAAGGAGGGGCTCCCCGTGAACAACATCTTCCAGCAGATCTCCCCCGTGGGTGAGTCTCCTGGGGGCGGCGCCCCGCCCTCCCGGGTACTTGGTCTTCAGTTCGGGGAGCGCAGAGCCGGTCTGCACGCTCCTGCTGGCTGCCTCGTTCCCTCTGCAAACCTGCTGAGGTGGCTGCTGTCCTTCCCGTCCTGCAGAGGAGAACCAAGGCTCAGAGAGGCCACCTGGCCACCCACAGGCACCCAGCAGGCGATGCCTGACCGCCTCACACGAACACCTCCTGCGAGGAGTGTGTGCTGGTTGAGGGAACAGCAGTGCAAAGGTCCTGGGGCATGAGGCTAGGAGCTGGAGTGAACTGAGCAAGGGGGCAGCAGGCTGTGGAGCAGGGCCGGGAGTTCACGCAGCTGCCTAATTCTAAAAACCACAGAATCCTCCAGAAACCCTGGTTTAGAGTGAGGAAACCCGGGCTCAGAGGGCTTACCTGTGCTTGCCAAGAGCACGCCCACCAGCTCCCCTCCCCTCCCCTGTCCTCACCCCCAGAGCTGAGGGCGGCCCCACCATGGCTCAGAGTGGCCCGCAGACCCTTCCCCAAGGCTGTCGCCCCCCCTCCCTGACAGACCCTGTAATGACTGGGAAGCCAGAAGAGCCACTTATTTCAGCCGCTGAGCTCAGGGATAAACACCCCCCCCCCGCCCCTCCCGCAGGCGCAGGTGCGGCTGCCCCCGGCTGATTCGCACTAATGGGCCCTGGAGCGGTGGGCCGTGCGGGGGGTGCTCTCGAAGCCGCTAATGGGGCCGTGTCAGGAGGCCC